TAAAAAGCCATACAGTAAAATTTACTAAGCTCTAGTTTGGTAGCTGATCACATGGAAAACTACTCCTTACATACTCCAGGATTCAAAAATTGTAATTACAAAATAAAATGAACTGTTAGAAACCGTTAGAAATAACATTTACATTATTGTATATTGCTATGTTTTCAATTCATATTCCTTTCTACCTTTCTTTCTTTAAGAAGACTTGTATATATTCAATCAGAACAATATTCTATGGATCATCTTCCCCAATCAGAAAAAAATATTCTTAAATTAGAAAGTTATTCCAAAGCTATTGAAAGAATTTTCAGGAACAAGAATACAGAAACGGCAGTGTCACCCGTTTACAATGTCGAATAGCTCTAAATAGAAAAAGCTGGGAATCTCCCAAGATCTAAATAAAAAAACGTTGAAAGAATACTTAAAGCCCTAACCAGTATTAAAATATCAATGAGCATGAATTGTAACTCTAACATTAATTTCTCAGTTATTGCGGTATGAATTTATGACGCTCAACCCAGAGTTCTACTGCCACGTTTCCTGAAAATATGCTGATAAGCCGAAATGTCATCAAAATCATAAAACCCTTAAACCAATATCTTCAACTGTAAAGAGCTATTTGCAAGAAATAAATGGCAGTTTTGCAGAAAAATGTTTCTGATAAAAAATTAAATGTTATTCAGTACATATGTACTAATATTCGCATCTTGATCATTTTCCCAGTACTACTAATAACTAATAATTTTACAGAATATACTGTTACAAAATGTGTTACCCAATGCGTTAAGCTACATATTGTAACATTTTGATATGCCAGAGAAAACAATTTAATATCAGAAATACTAGACTAATAAAGTCACGAAGAGTAATAATAAGTCAGCGGTAGTTGATAGTGATGCTGTACGAAAATAATACGCTTTGATGACTATGAGCATGTACAGTGAAAAATCTGAGCGTATGCGAAACGTAAGTGAAGTATTTTTTTATTAGAAACAGAAATACTATCATTAAGACAGAAAGGAATTCACAAAAAAGAATGTGACTATCTAACATTAACCCAGTTCTGAGTACATCAAAGAGTCCATTTCTTAGCTAAGATCCACTACTGTCCATTTCGAAGAAGAAACAGTATTTTTTATTTATTTTTTATACCTAGCCCTTTTTATCTACATACCTCTAAGGCCTTTTATCTTCATATGTCTCACTCATTCCTTTGATCATCAAGAACATCATCTTAACAACACAAAACATTTCCCATGTTTCTTCAGAGAAGAGACTTTGTTTTCTATTCATATGGCTTAACATCTTAATAAAGTTTTCACTTTCTAATCTTTTTTTCCCCTCTTCTCTTGCTTTCCAGACTGTAAGCTTATATTTACAACACCATGACTGCATTAATGATTGCAATTTAAGTGAAGCTGTAAATTTCGCTTGAAAATTGATTCCATTTGCTACGACTGCATGGTATATTGTCATTATTATCAGTTGAAAATTGAATAGAAAATTTTGCTTTTGAGTTTTTTAACTGAATGAAAATCAGTTAATGACTTACTAAGCGAAGAAATGATGTTATAAAGAGTTCTGGTTTCATTAATTCTTTCTCTTTTAATTGAAAATAGATTGTTTAGTCTTATATAGCTTAAAGAATTGAGATAAATCTTTATACAGGTTTATGCAGAATTTTCATTTGAAAATTTTATAATACCTTCTATAATACTTAATTCTATAATACCTAATAATAATGTAATATGAACATTAACGTAAATTTTTTTTTGCGTAAATATTTATATTGGAGTAGAACTCTTAAGTATCCGGGCTTCATTTATCCAAGTTGCTTGCTGTTCTTCTGATATCATTCTAAATTAAGTGTACTTTTAATTTATTTAAGGGTTTTTATTTTTTTCATTCACATAAGTAATACAGAAACGTCCACCTGTATCTGAGCGGGTAAAGGCTGCTGAACTTTGGTAATAGTTTTCCATGCGTCAAAATCCTGGTGAACGGGCTGGTTGCGTGGTATTTTCATGGTTTTCGCGATATGTAACTTTCATACAAGGCAGTTTCTCTTAGAAAATCTTCCACAAAAGCATCCCTCTCCTTAGACAGTGAGCTTTTAGGAGATTTATATCAATTATTTAACTAACCTAAATACAAGAAGACGAAACGTTATTGTATATATTATTAAGAAGCTATTAAGTTTGTAGAGACATTAGGATTTTTTTGGAAGCAGGCAAGATGAAGAATTAGCAACCGCCTTCGTCGGGAATCGCACCATGGACCTCTGGAATACTGGCCCAGCGTTCAGAACCACTACACCACGAAGGCACGCTAGGAAAGTGGGAGAAATATCTTATATACTCCCCTTTTTAAAGAGCGACTGGGGTTTAGGGGACCCAATCGCCAAGTCCTGGGTATGGAAAAACCTCACCCAACACGATTTTAGTTCGGGCGCCACTGTAGAGACATTAGGATTTTTTTGGAAGCAGGCAGGATGAAAAATTAGCAACCTCCTTCGTCGTTAATCGAACCACGGACCTCTGGAATACCGGCCCAGCGTGCAGAGCCACTACACCACGAAGGCACACGAGGAAAATAGGAGAAATACCTTATAAGTTAGTTTAAATGAATGTGCATGATAAATAATTCAAACTGTAGCATCAAATATTAATAAAATACCGCTGTATATATCATATGTTTTTACTAAATGCAGTGCATTTTTAAATTTGGCACTTATTGGCAAATATATATCTACAGAGGCTGTTCACACACTTTTTAGACAATGTATATTGTATTCACAAAACTAAATTACATAAAATTCTTGTGTTTTAAGTGTTCTATTTGACATCCCTTATTCTGAACTATCTTTCGACACCGCAATTTTTAGGATGATAATGCCTTTTGAAGTGGCAGAAGAAGTATTCTATCTCATTCCTCCCGAAGACCTTTCCTGAGTCCTGTTAGGGTTTTGGGACAACGTTTGGATAATGCTGTTTTTAAAAGTCCGAAAGCACAAAAATCCCTAGGTGACACATCGGGAGATTTAGTAGGGATGTCAGTAAAGGGTATGGTCTTGATACCAGTTTTTTGTTCCATTTCTTTTAGGAAATTTACAGTGGATTTGATGTGTGACTGCTAGCTTTGTCCTGATGGAGTCTCACAGATTGTTGGCACTGTGGGTAAAGCGATGGTATTTCATTCAGAAAAATTGGCGATAAAATATGTTCCTGATAGTATTTGGAGTTAATCTTGACATTTTTTTGCACTCTCTTTATTTTTAACTTGCCATTATAAGAAAATCCAGCAACAATCATGAATCCCTTAGAAAAACTTTCTTTCGATTCTTTGAACCATGTACTTAAATTTTTCTCCCCTTTTATGATAATAAATGGCTATTTTTTTGTTACAATCATTTAAATACACCCATGCTTCATCTGTTGTGACAATTGTTTTCCATTTTTCTTTGGATAAGTGTTTCTCATATAGAATTCTGCAGCGTGTCCTGCGTTGAGCGATATGCTTTGGAAGAAGACGATGCACATTGCGTTTTTTCGCTTTCTTAAGATTTAAATAAACGTCTATCATTTTGTATACAGTGGACACCGAGCATTTTAATGATTTTGCAACTTTCGTTTGACTAAAGGGGATTTTGTTTTAACATTAAACAACGTACCTTTGCAATAGTCGAAGATGTCCGTATTTTCCTTGGATACTTGTTTGGAATTTTTGTCCCACTTGAGTCTCCAATTTGACATTTTTTTCCTTTCTTGTTGATGATATTACCTATCGACGCTTTAGATATCACAAAACGATGACTCTCACATTGTTTTTGGATAACGGAGTATGCATATTTCTCTTCGGAAATGGCGTAAATGTAGCCTTCGAACCACTGCTTTGTTAAATTCGCCATTTTGAATAAAAACAAAACTTTCAAGCCACAGACGATAATTTTGACTTTTAAAACATAGTACATTTGCAATTACTTCTTTTGTAGCAAACGAGTTTTTATTACCACTTACCAAAATAGTCTAAAAAATGTGCGAACAGCCTCTGTATAACAGCATGCACCGTTTGGAAAATGGTTTCTGCTCTTGGCGCTACAGGCAGATCTTGGTTTTTAACATTCTTTCGCTTCCTGTCTTTTTGGAAAGAGTCCCTCCGGCCGGTGGTAATTTTAATAATGTTAAAAGTCATTAGCGATGCTACTCAAACATCGAAGTCTGGATCTGTCTCTTACTCGTTTTCTCTTTAGTTTATACTTAATAAATTTTAAATGTTAAGAAGAATTCGTTCGGAAAATGTGACCAGTAGATTATCATTGGGCAAATATGTAGCTTATAAAGATTAGGAGAAAAGCAGTCATGTCAGTGGTGGATTTCCGAAGTGAAGGGCCCATGCCATCTGAACGTTTAATGGTTCTCGTTATAATATATAAGATAAGTTGACTGTTTTTTAAAAACTAATTAAGGATTTAAGGGTTCTTTGAATACGAATTCTGTCGTGTTTACGACTTTGCGACCCTTTAAATCAATCTTCGAGTTATCAAACCGTTTTTTATTGCATGAATCACTACTCAGTCATAACAAGTATTCCTTCTTTATAAACATATACTACGTTTTTAATTTTATTATTTTAAATCAATAACAAATAATACTTATTTTAACTTAAGTTATGCGTTTCGGTTTTGTACAAGTAAAAATTTTTGCTTAATTTCAGTACATCAGAAATAAAAACAAGATTATTAGATTTAGAACCAACAGAAATAAAAATTAATTTGACTGTTTTATTTTAATTGGAACAAAAATGGGTTGCATGCTTAGAGGAACAAAAATACCGTTCATCATTTAGTTTTGTTGAAAAAATGTGTTTTGTATTTTGCTTAATGGAGATAAAAATATTTAATTTATTTTAGTCCATAATTTTCGTTGAAATGAAGCAGAGCACACAACTAAGTAAATTTTTTGTTGTTTGTATTATATTAACTATATATTTGTCTCTTACAGATCCCTTTCCCCAGTTATCTGGATATATTTGTCCTACAGATCCCTTTCCCCAGTTATCTGGATTTTTCAGATAGGCTGTGGTTTCAGTTACTCCAGCTAACTGAATTCATCTGTATTTATTCCACAAGTAATTTAAGTATTTTTTACCACTTTCTGTAATAGAATTGTTTCTGTGATCATTGACTGTTTCATTGTTTTGAACTGAAATACAAAGTACCACTTTGAAATTTTTTCAGGATGTGTTTTCAGAGCTCAACCAGCTTTTAATGCAATCTCGTAGCTTCCAGCTAGATTGTAGGTAAAGTGACTGCCGCTCAGATTAAGTACCGAATTTAAATACTTTGTAAAAAATCCTGCTTTTAAAGCGGAAGCCTCATTGCTAAAGTGAAAAATAAAAAACAAACTGACATATAAATTTATATTTCTTTAGATTTATATCGAAGTAAAATCTTACAGCTCATTGTGACCTTTGGTTAATAACTTTCCAAACTTTCTATGCGACAGCAGTCTTTGAAGACAAAAATGTAACTTAACAAATGAATGCATTAACACTGAAATATTTAAAGGCTTCCATACACAAGAAAATAAAATTGATACGAAATGCAAATTGAGTAAACATGGCAGAAATTGTATGTTTTAATGTATTTTGTTTACATAGCTTTTGGTTAATAAATAACATTATAGAGTTAGTAAACGTAGGAACAGTATGAAATATAGCAATGTTATGTATTACTAGCCTCATTACCTAACTTTCATATTTAAAATAGTATTTATTTTATAGATTTATTTACTTAAAATTAAAAATAAAAATTTAAAATTCATAGGCAATTTGTTCCTAAGTTCTGAAGTAAATTCTTATTTTTTTAAAAGGTACTATGAGACTGAAGTACTTTCTAAACGGGAATGCAGAACTCAGCTGCGTTATGAATACTTAAGCTTTTCCTTTCTTCAAGTTCCGAATAGCTATGGATGTGAAAACCTTTGTTTTAAAGGGAAAATATGCTGTTGGAGCCTGTCCTAAAGAATATATACATCCCGGGAAATGTTCAATGTGTAATACTGAAGATATTTCTCTTGCTTTGCATGGCTACACATCGAGTCTGCAAATACGAAAGAACTAGAAGTGACAAAATAAAATCCCCCCAAAAATTTGCTGATAAAGAAGTTAATTGCAGTCCGAAACATTTGAGCTTAAGAACTAATGAGTTACCAATGAAACATTATCAGTCTAAATTCTATACCAGACGAAGTGGGAGATTTCAAGAATTCAGACATTCGAATTTGTTTTCATCTCCGTTTATGAATTTAGAGGCCACAGAAATTAGACGAAGGCGTAGAAGCATCCAATCTCTGAATGAAAATACAAACATGCGTCTTCAAGTCCTATTTCAGTTGCAAAAACCTGGTTTAACTAATGGAAGACAAGAAGATTTTCACCAACATCTCATACGTCAATTAGCGAAAACAATTAGAGTTCCTATACCCAGTATTAGGAACGTGACAATTATGTCAGGTAAGTTTAATTTTTCTTACCAATTTAATATTTTATTCATGTAACTGATGTAAAGTTAGAGCTAAAATAGCATTAGGTTATATCAAAATGACACATGCAAATATAAAATAGAAAGTTAAGGGCCTTTAGGAAAAACAAATCTGATAATTCTTTAACGTTCTTGTAAAGTCAGGTGTCGTTGTAAACTTCTAATGTCAGGTACGGACGTCTGAGATCATAATAAGCTTTACCTACATTTACTAATAGCATAATAAGATACTATGAAATAAATGTAAAGTCCTTTAATTACGGCTTGTAATAAATGACCAAGTAAAATTTGAAACTACATTAATTCATATTTAAGATAATTTTGCAGATCTGAATTACCTTAGAGAGAATTAAAAGTATTAAATGCTAATTACATGTAAAACAGGGCCCACCAGCGGCCGAGCGGTAAAGTCGCTGAACACTGGTAGTTCGGTCCAAGGTTCGAATTACGCAAACGGGCTGGCTGCATGGGCGGTTTCCCCATGTGTAATGTGTATACGAGCCAGTATAGAAAGTCCTCCACGAAGGCACCACTCCCTTTAGGCAGGTAGCCGTCGAGGCTTTGCCGTAATTAAATAATCTAACCTAACATGTAAAACAAAAGCACACGCGTGTTAAAACAAAACTATACTTTTTATGAACGTTAAATTAGCATGTAAAATTAATACCGTGCACCAAAAAAAATCTAATAAATTAAAGAAGCGAATTGATTTTGGAAAAGAAAAGTAAACGTTAACTACATAGGCTGGATGTTTAAAAACCAAAGTATCTTCCTTTAGCATATTTTGAATGAATTTTGTTAATCCTTCGTCGTGTTGATACCATACTTCAATTACAAGCTCAGTTACTGCTTTTTGAAACTTTTATTTCGAGTTATTGAGCCTTCCGTTTAACATAATCAAAGATTTTCAAAAGGCTTAATTCTCTTTATTCCAAATTTTTAGTAGGGCTTATTCTGTGCAGTTACTTAAATCTTCTTGTTTTCTTTTATGAGAGCCAATCTACCAGCAATTTTCATAAAAACAAGACGTGTTATCTATAAGAGGGATAAAATTATGATTTGGAGAGACATGGCATTTTGCACCAACGGAAACGGTTTAGATGCTAAACTGTTAATAAATTCGGTGATTTTAATGTATCGTCAAGAATTTTCGCTACAATTTTAGCTTTAGGATATAACGTCACTGCAAATGAGTGCTTAATCGTTTGCTGCGTACGGTCTAACTCACATCAATTGAGTCCCATATTTAATTACTATTCTCATTTTCATTAAGAAGGAAAACTATTGGGGTATTTTTTTATTCATCAGCGGAATCCTGTATACATTTAAATTAAGCAAATATTTCTCAAGACTGTGGTTTATTTGATGATTGGGAGTTTTTGTGGCAGTATTTCCTTTAATTACATTCTTTTCTGTATTAAACTGTAAATAAACCCCAAAATATTATCTCACAAGCTTCATACTGCCCAAATTTCGGGAATTCGTCCCTATTTCATTTCCCTCACTAAACTTGTGCTTTATCAAATTAGTTAGATGGTAGATTAGTAAGAGTCATACTTGGCATAAATTTCACGGCTGCTAGAAACAGTTCGTGCAGAATATAATATTATACATGGATTTGGTTTAAACAAACAAGTTTTTGTCTTAGCTATTGTCAGATTATTATTATAGTATAAGTAAAAGTTACACCTACAAACACGTATAGGCTGTTTACCTAAATTAAGTGGACATCACAGAGAGTTACAACAGATTGCCAAGTCAAAATTAATTCTGAGGACAGTATCTATGCTGAAAGTCGCGATTTGCTTTATAGTTCACTTCTGTATAAACATATTCGAATTCAGCAACAAATTATTTTCAAATTATATACAACATCTAAACTTGAATATATTATTTTAAAAATTAAATTGAACAAAATTAGTTCTATAACACTATAACAGAGCTTAAAACATGTAACTTACAGAAGGTTCCAGTCGAAGGGCAACACGTGTTCACCCCCATGGTAAAGCACGGTGCCCTCGCCTGCTGTAAGCTATCAGCTTCTATAATAGAGCTTTTGTTCACCGCCGTCAAGAAATTATTAGAGCTATTATGCCTTTTTCAGATACAGCTGAAAACAGAAAATGAAAGAGAGAGAAATCTGCTTGTTTATGAAACAATCGTAGCACAGTACTCATAACACAGTGTGTACCATATACAAGCACACTATCACTGGAGTGAAAGTGTCCGTCAGTATTCCTTTATTTCAAATGTTACCAATTTAAATTTATCGGTGACTCACATCTTTCAATATAACTGTACTGGAGTGAATCAGTGCTTGAGTAACCAAAGAGACTAGCGCTTGAACAAAGGTTTTTTCGATAAATAATATTCAATAATTCTGAATTAGTAAATAATACTCAGCTCATTAAAAAATAACTCTCAATAGTTCATTTTAAAGACTTAATTTTAAAGCATCATTAATTTCAGCAGTCGTTTTCTCTTTTGCTTAGGATTAATATCCATTTTCAAGAGTGTTTAAAATGGATACGCGATCAGCAGTTGTTTCCTCTTTTGCTTAGTATCCATTTTCAAGAGTGTTTAAAATGGATACGTGACTGTATGAGAATTGATGCAAACAGAGGAATAAATTATCTAGGGAAAATGCGTTAAAATGATTATAAATTAGTAAGTTACTTCGAAATTTATAAAGTTGATGGGTGGTTTTTAGTTTTATTTTGTAAAGGCTGCGGTTAAAAATTTTCTCTAGTTGCGAAATTTCATTTCTTTATTTTATGTATCAAACCCTTTCAGGGGCGGTGGTTTCGCCTTGAAACCGCATTTTCAACATTTTTTTAAATTTAGAAAATATGTTTCTTTTTCCCTCAAAACCGCTGCTAAAATTAAATTACTTCTTGAAGCTGATAACAGATGGCAGAAGCAAACCTTTCTGGGCATCCATTAATTGATACGAATCATTCAAAAATAGCTTCTTTTGCACACTACTCTTTTTGACCAATTTTAAAAACAAAAGAACCCAAAAATTTTTAATTTTTCCACAATATATTTTATAAGCAGGCATCAATGAGTAATGAAATGTCCTTAGTTCACAATAAAAAGTAATGGGACCCTTTCAATTTTGAATGTTTTCATTGCGGTTTCAGTATGAAACCACCGCCCCTTTGAGACATCGAAGAAAGGATCAGATGACGCAGTCGCGGGATTTTTTGCAGTTGTGTTTATTGCTTTCGGATCACTGCTGTAAACAGTTGCACAATATCTTCATTTGAGTGGCCTCAAAGATGAGGATTTATGGAGCTTTTGAGAGAGAGAAAACATTTCTTATTTTTTACAGAGACACAGAGCACACTGAAAAACACTCACAGTTGCGTTTTTATTATGCTTCTCTTAGCGGTTGCTTTTCTCATGCTTCTAGTTCATAGTAAAATAATTGTATGCATCTTAATTTATTTTATTTTTACATATAATTTTCTTAGTTTTAAACATAATTTTAAAAAATATTTCATAGTTTTATGCAAGTAATTTAATGCATTATTAGTTACTTTGTCTCATACTTTTTTGTTTCCTGATTTAAATTTTTTATTTATAATTAAAAATGCGTGTTTATGCAAATATTACTTACTTCATTAGTTGTTCAGTAATTTACTAGTATAATCTGCAATTTGGGTTACGTTCAGTTACTTTTCAGCAAAGTAAAGATAAATAAGCAAATGTTTAGTCTTAAATGCTCTAGACAGGCGCTGGTTTCAAGGCGAAACCGGTCCCCTTTCCATAAAGGGGGACGAAAAAATTTTTTTAAAACTCATTTATGTTGTCTATATGACCATTGCATGTCATTATGCTTACTTTTTCATAACTTTTAAAAAATAATAACATTGCGCCCCTGAAAGGGTAGGTTTTTATCTTCTGTGTCTTGATGTTTTCTGGAATTCTGTATATTCTGTTTTTGATTATTGATTCTGTTCTTGACAGGATAGATTCTGTCTGTAGCCCAATGGTTTTGTTTCAAATGAAGTTGTTATCCTTCACAAAGTAAACAGTGAACTAAAACATATTTCACTTCCTCACACGTCAGACAGTGTAACAGCTTTAAATATTATTAAAATCTTGTAGTTTAAATATTTAAATAGATGAACATTAAGGTATTTGTGAATGACAATATTTGAAACCAGACTCGAGTGCCACGTGCGACTCTCGCACGAAGAATGTTATTTTTTTTAAATGTTAGTATTCTTTTTTTCTTGTTTTGTATGTCGCCTTTTGAGTGTTAAATAAAGTTCTTTCTGTGTTCCATCATTGGAGTTGCTTCATATTGCCAAAGAAGTATTACAACAGCAATGGGCTTAGTCTGAAATGCTTTTAGGGTTTGTAAAATTTACTATAAACACGAATATAGCATTCTTTACAATCGAGGTAACTTTCTGATGTAGCTCTTCTATTTTCATTATGGAAGCAAATATTTTTCTCACTTACCATGCTTTATTTGTTCGTTTTATGCTAGCTGAAGAAGCAGATTCTTGGAAGAGAAAATGAAAAAAGGGAAGTGAGCATTATTAAAATATATTTAATAAAAATATGAACAATAGTTTTATGTCTTTTGATCTATTAGTTATTATTACTATTTATTAACTTAAGAGCTTGGAATTACTGATATATTACAATATTTTTCAAATCTGAGTATCATCTCCAGGGTTTTCTGTTCTCAGTCACTTGCAAAATGTGAATTTATTTATCTTGTAAATAAGATATCAACTCATATATTCATTTAAAATTTCTGCACAAAACATCATTACGAAAATTACTTTTCACCGTATTATGCGGCATTTGGAAGGAATAAAACATCTACAGAAATAAATAAAATATGCACTATTTTTAAAAATTAAATTTTCCGAACTTTGAAAGATGTAGAGCTGCATATTCAAAATAAATATAACCATAAATAATAACAAAATAATAAATAATAATTAAGCAAATAAAGAGAATAAAATGTATTTCTAAACGGGAAAATCCCAAAGATCAAGAATCCTTGGTGTTCGTATTGGAAAATATAGAGGAGAATTAATGGAAAAAAACAGTGTGAAAGTAATTATCACACTGCCTATATCATTCAGAATGTTGGTTCCAGAGGAAATTTAGATTTTTTTTCATTGCACCAGTGTAAACTACTTTGATGCTGCATCAAGTCTCTTAGACTAATACTGAACAGATATAATATTTCAACCAAACGTATTTGATAATTGCAGATTTCTTTATTACTTTTGTGTTTCTTTAGTTTTAAAAGAATATTTTGGATAATTTTTCCAATATATAACGTCATATATAACAAGCCAGTATCCATAAGGAGGTTATGCATTATAGTTTTATCAAATTGCAGCTATTGCTGATAGATCTATTTGATGCTTCCGTTCTAGGAAAACATTTATGACGATGGTACGTCAGTCTGATGATTAACGTAACGAAGACTCATAATAGCATAATACTCATAATAGCCACTTAAATCAAAAGTACCAAGTCAGGGATTAAAGACAATGATATCAAGCCTGGTTATTCAAGAAGAGTACTAAACACACCTAGTGTTCAATATTTAAAAGCTTCATTAGAATCGATTATTAACATCTGTCATACTAGAATTCTGGGGCACCCTGTACATATAAACATCTACGCAGAATCATATAAATCTTAAATTTTACTTTGTAAGATTTGTTTTATGGGAGACAAATGATAATGAACTGGTTTTTCTAAATTTCAGTTATTCTGCCTCTGGTCTGCTAGTATGAGGAAAAAAATCTTATTTTTGTAGTGCCGTCATATTTCTGATATTAAATTTCTCCTTTTACCTATTGTATTTCATATTATACTTCGAGTTAATTATTACAAATATTATCACAAGTGCTTTGTGATTTTGTTATACCAAAACGACAAGAAAGGCATATTATTATTGATTTTGGACTTCTGAAATAGCTATACATTTGAATGAATGCTGCTAACATACAAAAATGTTATTCCCTAAAGTCCCACAGTTCAAGTAATCTGAAAATGCTATGATTGACACTAGAATTCGTTGATGATCAGTGGCCGTTTTGCTTAGCTTATTCTTGTATGTAACTCTCTGTTAAAATAGACGAAGCTGTCTCCGAGAAATAGTGGCTCTCTTGTGCTGTTTATTACAAGTGCGCTGTTTATTATTTATACGCAACATAACAGCCCGGAAGATTATTCTTGTAAGACAATAATATTTCTTCTAGTTTTTGTAAATGAAATTATATATAACGCATTTCTTTTACCTCAGAATAAATTAAATAGATATTTTCGAATAATTTTAACAAGATAATAATAGATGTTAAAGATACAATAGCAACAAGAATCAGCGTAAGTGGCATAAATTTGCAGTCCGAATCTTATTGCTATAGTATCTTTAACATTTATTTTTGGCTTATTACTTTAGTTAATATAGTAATATATGTTTTTAAATTAAGGATATTTCAAAATACTGCTTAATTTCAATAATTCATTTAGAAAAATACTTTTAATGAAATCATTTTGAGAATAAAAGTAAAAATAAGAAATTCTTGCATTGGTTTATAAATGCTGAGCAGTATTTTAGAGGCATGTACAGAAAACAAAATTTCTGAGTAAATATATTTTGATTCGTTAAGTATTTCAAAACATAAAATATCAGCTATGATTTTACCTCCTATTACTCGAATTTTGTATCTGACGAGTGCTAGCTGGACATTCTTCCAGTTACACCGCGAAGACACTCTGTGAGGAGAGAGAAAATACCTTACATTAGTCTTTAATTAAAGGGGGTAGGTTGGGACCCAGTCACCAAACATGGTGGTGACTAATTATTACTTACTGCAATTCTATTCGGACGCCACTTTTAAAGTCATTAGACACTTCAAAGCAGGAAATACCAGCTATGGCTTCGTCGTGTCACGAACACTGGACTTTCCGACTGTTAGTCGGACGAGTTTCCCTTGACGCTACAAAGGCATGCGGTAAGAAGAGAGAAAATAACTTTACAGTATAGAGACATTTTGCCTTTATCACGTGCATATGGTTTGCACTATCTGTAAACAACTCGAAGTTCTTTTGCAGTAGTTATACATATTAAAGCTTCCATTTAAACCAAAATTTATGTTTTAAAAGAACTTTTATTGTATCGAATGAAAGTTATCATGAATGTACTTAATTCGACACGGCTAAAGTTCATTAATTCGTTTACAAATTCAGTAACTTAAACTATTCCTGATTCTTGATTTCGTAATAAAAATCTATTGATAGACCAGTAATTTTCAAATCAGGATATACACAGCGATTTACTAGGGTTACCGCAAAGATGGGTAAATTGCAAAACAGCGAATAATTTTTTGCATTAAGAAAGAATTCATAAAATATGTAAAACAATTAATTTTTTCAAGCATTTAATAGTCATGGCTTAATTTTTTTAATGTGGTAAAGATTATTGATAATTTTACAGCAATTAAATTATTCAGAACAAATGATCGGTATTTGAGGCATAAGAAATGTTTACTGAAGTTAGGAAAACTTTGTAACGTTACACTACTTTTTCCTTTAGATTGAAAAATGAGTCTCATGAGGGTAGAGACAGTAGAAAAGGAAGTATTCTGCTTAAAAATTAAATAAAGATAAATGCTTTTAGAACTTCTTCCAAGTACTCGAGAGAAATATTTTTTTTGAACTCTTACATCCAACAAAACCAACTGTCGAAATAAATTACACTCGAAGTTGTGTTTTCGGATTGTAGCATTACAATATGTCAGCTTAAAAACAAAGAAAAATCTTAACAATTGCACTGAAATCGTGCTTTTTATTCGTTTAGGTTTTTGAAAATAATACTTTTGTGTACTTGTAAACTTATAATTTCCATAAGCTAGACTTTTAGACGTGCGTTTACAACATTTAAATATTATACATAAATGTTACTTTTATTAATGAATGCGCATTGCTAATTTTTTTTCATGCAATTTAAACAGAACATGTTTTTCGAAGCAGGAAAATGTAAAATCAATTCCCTTGTCGGAATTCGAACCATATCTCTTTCAGCTTCTAACTGGATGTTCTAACCGTTTGCACGGGTAGAGCAGTAGTTCCTCATATACTCTCCTGCTTAGGACAATAGGGAAGAGTCCCGAGGTTATATTCCGTGTTGTAACAAGTTATTTTCTACTGCAGCGGTACACTGTAGTCTCTAGAGTGTACCGCTGTACAGTGTATCCTAATGTCTCTATAGTAAGTCTTTCGATTTGTTTCGGGAATATGACGTGTCCTGTATAGGAACAGGGAGCTTAATCAAGCTATGTTCAAATATGTGTGGAATGGATGACACAAGCAGGAAGGGTTAACTTTACCCTTTATTGTTCACGATATTACAAGCGCTTCCACACTTCGGGATACAGAAACCAACCACTTGTGGTCTGAACTTAAAAATATAAAAACTACTAACTAACTAAAAGTAAGAGTTAACTGAGAGAGCTTTACACAATTGACTAATGCTAAGACTGGCCTTTTAAATTATTACGTATGTAGTACGCAAACTGCCGAAACTACATAACGTTTTAAATATCAAGAGGACTAAAACTGCTCTTGGCAAAAAGCCACAACTTAAATACCTGGGCGTTAGCAAGTACAATTTGCATAAACAAGTTAACGCGTTTAATTCTGGCCGGAAGTGGAAAATACGAGAGGATAGTGAAGTTTTAAAATAAAATAACCGTTAGTACAACTTAAGATCCTTACACTGTATGGAAGGATATACCAAAAATGAAATGAGGTGAAACAGAAACTAATTTTAAGAGACTTGACTAATTTTAAGAGAATTTTATTAATAACTTAACCGTTTATATTAATTACAGAATTAAAAAACAAACACCTGATACAAAAGTGTGTTCATATTATGACTTGTATTATTATGCAACCTTTATTTTCTTATAGAGAGGCATGTTAGAAATATTTCAGACTTCGGTTATTCATTAATGGAATTTAAAATGATTTAGAGTCAATATTTGCTTAGTAGAAGAAAGGAAATTGTTAATTTTGCATGGATATTCAATATTAACTTAATTCTTGAGTATGTTGAGACATGTTTGCATGCCGCATGTGTAGAGTAATATTCACAGTTCGTTTTTCCTGTATCATTCTGTTAATATATGAATTAAGATGGTGCCGCAGATTGCATAGGAAACCTGTATTAATTTATTTTAGAAGTGAGAACGGTGCATATGCTAAGTGGTGCAAATCTCATTTTAGGATCTCAAGTTTCTTTCACATTATCTGCTTTTAACGATGAAAACAACATTATGGATGACCAGACAGTGCACGAGGCTGCTGATTTCTTAAAGACGAAAATCAAAGCTCAGCAACTTCAAATAACAGATTTAAATGGAGAGCTATTGATGACAGCGAGAAGTGTTTCATTGGAAGGTAACAGATTTTAGTATAGTTGATTTATTTATGAATAATTCTTTAACTTACTATAAACTTAATCTAATTAACTATTATTTAAATGTATCATAAAAACTGCGTATAATAAAGAGTAGGAATACATTTTTATTTATATTTAATTTAAAGTATATGCAACTAAAATAAATAGTAAATTCTAAAAATAAACTTCAAATCCACAAATAAGCTAAATAAATCTCTTATCTTTTTAATTTGGTGTTAAGTAACACTGCAATGCCGTTTGAGATAAGAATACTGTTTAGATTTATCACCACTTTCAAAGCAATCGATATCGTGTTTCTCCATCAGTTAAATCACCACCCACTTCGTGTTTACACTACATGAAACTTAATGCCTAGTTTCTCTCTGCCTAATGGATTGCTCGTGAGAAAAGCAAAGTATTGGAAATAACTACAACTGCGTTGGTTACGTTGTTCTGCGATATTAAATTATATCTATAGTAAGCACATACCTACAGCTATGTCTAAAATGAAATCGTTATTACATTAATGGCAATTTCATTAATTAATGAATAACAGATCAGTAATTAAGTTTTTGTAAACTGTAAGTTTTCTTTATACGAACATTGTAGCCTGTATCCTGTAAAACCTCATCCGACTAATTTGAAGAAAGTTTTAACTTTCTAAATCTAATTTAATCCGATGATAATCATTGAAAATGAAATATTATCCGACTAAGTATAAAAACGTGTTTTTCCAAAATAATAGTTTTCTGCATGAGCGTATATTTTATCTCGAATAACGTATAATAATTATATCAGAAATTTTCCACCGTTTTCAATTGTCAACATTGAGACAATATAACTTGCCTTTGATTTAATACTTTGTCTAAATAAGCACCATGGCGCTTAATGTACTTTGATCACTGTGTAACATGCGAGTGAGTAAAAGTCTCTGCTTCTATGGAAATCAGAAAATCCTAAAAAGCATTTTTTACGTATTCTGCTTTTCTCGAAAATATTTCTTTTTCAAAAAAACTGTCCAAAGAGTTAAAGACTCGAAGAAATTTTAATAGTGCTAAAATAAGTATAGATAATGAGTTAGAACTTCAGTATCTAACTTCCATTATTCTTAAGTTATATTTTTCAATATGTGATCTAGCTGTATTTTGGAAAAGGATACTGCTTTCACAATCGGCTACTTCTGGCTATTTAGCTTTCAAATTTTGCGATCGAAAATTCGTAAATTAGTTTCTGAATCTAATAATGATAGATACATTATTAGTCCTTTGGAAATTGTAATGAATTAAATAAACTATCTATCACCAAACTGTAAGCAAAAGCTTTTCCGAGTACTGAAAAGTTTAAATAAGATCATCTATGTTTAGTTATTGGCCTGATCCTGTTATCTGTTACAAAATCCATTTTCCTTTACACTTCACTATTGATTTAAAATTCACGTAAAGTATTTTCTTAAAAATAACGATGAACATACTTCAGAATATATCTGTGTGTGCTGGCATTGTACCTACTTTTCTAATATCCTTCTCGAGCGCATTTTGCAGAATCTGTATATGCTACAGTGCATACCTCGATACTTTTCTAAAATCATTTTAAACAGATACTTTTCATTAACATCCTCAATTTAAAAATAATCATAATCAAAATCATCTAAATAAATATCATCAAAGTTGAACGACCATACAAACACAATAGATAACATCGATGTTGAAAGTTCTGGACTTTAACTGCACAAATTATTCGCCTCCTTTCTTTCTTCGGGTCTACCTTTGCCATAAACCTTGCATATAGCTGTCTCTACAGCTCGATATTAATTAACTTTAATTTGTTAACTTTGGAAGTATTTCACGATTTAAAACGGATTTGTATAAAATATACAGCAAGAGTTTAGTATAAACTTGGATTGAAGCAAATATGTTCTTATTTTGAAATGCAGTCGGTATTCTTTCTACAGTACTCCCATTTTTATCACTATAGAATTTTAAATGAATGGTAAAAGTTTCGAAATTTCAAGATTCATAAAATAATTAAAAATGACATAATTTTTCATGACTAATCAACTAGATATATAAAGTTCAGAATTAGTATTTAGGTATTAAGACTTTAAAGTGAAGCATTAAATCTCATTTTAATGTATAAATATATAAGTAATCAAAAAACGGCAATACTTTAGCATCTTTAAATATACAGGTTTTTTTCGTTTGAGCCATATTTCATTGCTTATCATATCTTATCACTTGGAAAACATGTAAGAAAAATTTATTCCCATCAATTTATCCTCATCTTCACCTAGGGCACAAGCAAAATTGTGCATTAATTTATCAATACCCCTTTTTCACAATCATCTGATTGGCACTTTGCTCAATATAGGCAGCTCAATAAGGCAGAATGATGAAGGATTAAGGACAATTATTAATTTCAAAATAGATTTATAATTGAAAAGGTAATCTAATCATGTGAAGGTTTAAGGTAATAGTTGTTAATTAAAATAATTTCTTTACTGAATTTTTTCTAATTAGTTCTATTCTTTAGAACAGTTTATGCTTCAGATGGTTTCATGTTTGTACATTTTCATAATAAGCTATTTTACACTTTAGATGTTAAAAGCCGCTTTGTACATATAGCCTTTACTGGTGAGGTCAGGTATTAATAATGTCACAATTAGTGTAATAAAGTGCAAAACTTTAAAATATCAAAATTTAACAAAATTCATTTATGATTATAAGCAAGTTAATAACTGTCAGGGATTCTGCTGTAAAAGTCATTTTAGAGAATTGGAAAATTTAAATTTGTTTGTAAAAATAATTAGACTATCTTTTGAATTGAGGGCGTTAAATAACTGTACCTTTAGAAGCATATTTGATACATTAATAGCGATAATGAATTAAAAAATAATTAATTAATCAAGGAACATAACAAAATCAACATAATATCAAAATGAGCCATTATTATGACAGAAAAATACATACAGAATTCTTCAATGACGTCAATATTATAATTGCTACTAAGGAGCAAACATATTCCATTTCCGGAAAAGGGAATATAGGGCTCTAAGATCTCTTAGAAGCTCTGTCAAAGACACGAAGGTCTGTGCACCCATCCAACACGATGCCTGCCCAGACCTCGGTTCTCATACTAGTTTTTTTCTCGGAAGCTCGATAACAAGTAGTGTTTCCTTGGTTATATTTAAGTGAAGGTGTACATCGAGAATTTATCTAATTTCATTAAATTCATGAAATTTTTATTAAAAATAGGCTCGCCATTTCTTGAGATAGTGGATCAAATATGAAAATTCTCTTAATTTTGAACACTAGTTATCTACCGCTGAAAAACTGTAAAGTTGATTTCTTTGTAGTAACTCACTACTTGAAAAGAAACAAGTTTTACAAGTTGATTGTGGATGCAGTAGTAAAAATATTCTTTTTATTTCTATTTATTGTTTAGTCTTATCCAAAGGCGGAAGTTTTAATTTGCAAATAAGTTGTAAACAGCGGAGCAAAGCAAGTATTGCAGTACTTACGCGACCATTCATGGCAAATAGCATAAAATACATGAATTCATTCATAAATTTGGTTTTGAAATCCCATATCGTTACATCAAATGAATGATAATTTAATTTTCACCTTCCCCAATCACCTCATCGTGTAATGGCCAACTAATGGTATTAATAACGAGACTTAGCTTACAATATTTTTGTTCTTGCATTGTTTTAAAAATCGAGTTATTAGCACATATAAATTTGTAGATCCATGTCATGTCTATGAATGTTCCTAGTTGCAAACAAAACTCCTCATAAAGTGAAATTTCTCTTATTATACTCCACTTCGATATTTTAATTAAAGTTACAGAATTTCAGTAACTTTAACAGTGGAACAGTTATTTCTTGCATAATAATTTATACATAAATATTTTAACAGTAAAATAGTAATAGTAAAATTTACAAGTCTTTCATTTTACCATATAGGTTTCCATTGGCATGTATTATACAGCCGCTATATCCTTCGCACTGAATCATTATATTGGTTGAATAAAACATTAATTACTGACGAATTGAGTAGATACTTAATTTTACACACACACAAAAAAAATTCAAAACTACAGCTGATATTAATCAAACATATATGAATATTTTGTTAATAAATATATAAACATTTTAATTATTAATAGTAAAATGTGTTTCTCCAAGTTTTTCCTTTTTTTCACATGGATTTCTACTGGCATACATCCTATAGCTGTCATATCTTGGCATTGAATAATTATGCTGGTGGAATAAAATATTAATTGCTGCCAAATTAAGTAGACACTTAATTTTATACACACCAAAAAATATCAAAACTGCAGCAGATATTAATGAAACAGAGATGCATATTTTGTTATACGTCAGTCAATAAGCTATAAATTTTAGTTTTTCTCTTGCTTTAATTTACTGATTAAAGCATCAGCCCAAGTTTGGTAAAGGAAATATGATATATTGCTTTATTTTTTTAAAACTTTAGACTGCGCATTATGTCCACTAGAAAACTTCTGCTTCTGTTTTAAAATTATGTTTAAGCTCTTGTCAGATATTTGATAAGATTTCAATTTCTAAAACCAATATTGCTTGCCTCTTTTGCCATTTTTTCTAACATTGCATTTCGTCGATTAAAAAACTTGGGTTTCCATTTTAAATTGCATTTGTGTTTAGTATTAGGTCACACTAAACCTTAAAAATAGATAAATTAAAGCTGTCGCCTTAAAATTGAATAATGTTTGTTGATATTTCAAAGAAAACAAATTCATGGATGGTGAATTGCCACGATTTTGCTCAGTAGTATTTTCATAAATAAGATCAGTAATAAATATAATCTAAAATCCATCTGATATGAACCAGACTGACGTTCATTTTGAAGAATGATTTTACAGACCACGCCTATTGTTATCTGTAAAAATGTATAAATAAAACAAGCTTGATCTAGGTTACAGAAACTGCATAGGTCATATTATTGGTGATTATTTGGCGAAG